GAGTAGAAGTACAGTGATGCTACTTGTGTCTTTCTAAACCTGTTCAAAATCATGTGGAAGATGGACATTATGCTTACACAGTCAGCTTTTCAGGGTTTGATTCCACCCTGTAAGAGTGAGAAAACAAACCTCTTTCAAAGCGCTGTATAAACTAAGCTTAAGATTCTACTCAGCAACTCACACTGCCGCAACACAGCAAGATCACAGTACCGCAAGCAGGAGAAACATGCTGATGAGATTCAATTAAGCAGTATGAAAGAATTCAGTTGATTGACTTAGTGCATTTCTAAGCACATTTTCCACAAACCAGATCTAGCAGCCCCCAAGAGTGCAACAGTCAATGAGTATAAAACCCTCTGGATTTCTCAAATTCTTAAAATCTGAAGCAATCAATTCTGAAAGATACTTTTAATAAGAGGGAAAAAAAATTGCAGTAGCCTAGAATGGTTTGCACCAGCCAACTTCCTTGTACAAGTACTCTGCAATAAGATAACCATGTATTTCAATCAATGTGTTTTTACAGAATCACAGTCATAAAGGTCCAAAGGGACCTCTGGAGGTCACCTAGTTCAACTCACCTGCTAAAGCAGGTTCCCTAAAGTACAGGAAAGCACAGGAAAGCATCCAGGTGCATTTTGACTGTCTCCAACACTCCACAAGCCCATTCCAGTGCTAAGGTTTCACTAGTTACTTTTTGCTCTTCTCTGATAATTTAAGTAGCAGGTGAGAGGGGAAAAGACCCGATGAAGAACTGTTACTTTTCTTCTCATAGCGTATGGAAGTGAGTTCACACTGTACTCTGCCCATACAGACTGCAAACTAGCATCTCTTGTAGGGATTTGTGCTGCTGCAGCACAGTGGCACAGGAGTAATGTGGAATATCACCGTGTAGCAAGGCTATGTGAGACAGCACGGTTTTGTGTGAGAAAATGTCTGCCTAGACAGCAAGGTGCTGTTCTTTCCAGAAGAGCATTCAGCACACTGTTAGGTATGGAATAAAAAAATCATTGCTACATTGCTACTAATTTAATGGTTTACAGTCCGAAAATGATAATTGCTTTTTAAAAATAATCTCTCTTTAGCTGTTATCAATAAACTGTGAAGATCAGTCTTAATGCTAGGATCTCTGATAGCTTGAAGTGTGCTGTTTTGAAGAAAGAAAGACATTTTGAAAACTCTTTTGAATGACAGGAAATGTTGGCACTGCCACCATCTTCCCTGATGCCACCTATTGTCCCTGATGGCTTTTGGTACTTCCTCAGCCACACAAAGCTTCTATAGTCTCTTTTTTCCTTTATTTGAATGCTGTGATGAGGGAGTCAAATCTTTTTGTCTCTGCTATACTTAGAATCTGCCCTTATATGCAGTACTTTGCTTTGCTTTCCAGATGTTATCAAAGTCCAATAACTGTTCTTGAGAGCCAAGACAGATGCACGCTATTTTTTAAAACACAATTCAAGCCAACTTTCATTCTTTGAGATGTAAAAATATAATGAAACATTATGAATGCATTTTAATGCTATAGAAATGCAAAAAATAAGTGCTATAATAACCATTAGATTATTTATCATCATCTGTCAAGGCCAAATCCTAGCTCTAATAGCAGTCACCATGGCTAAGCTCCAATGTAATTATTATCAGGGACTGCTCCAAACACCATCATCAAAGTCAACAAGAAAGTTTTTCACACTGAGTTCTGGGTACTTTGGATGAGGCCCTGAGCTGTCTGCGCTTGCAGAAGCTCTCTCTGATCCTTCAAAGCCATCGCTCATGACACTGAGGTTGCTGTTGCAGCATGTGTGATTACATTTCTTATCCCAGCCCTTGCTAGCCATAACCTTTCAGAGATTTGAGAGCTGATTTGAGACTTAGAACCAGAAGGATAATGTCTTAAGAATTTGTCAAATTACTCACCACAAAGGCTAATTGCTAGTGGATATGGTGCTTGGGTTTAGTGCAGAAGTAGAGTAGTACTAAACTTGGATCTAGTAGTAGTACTTTATTTGCTGTATATCTGATATGTAATTGTCAAAAGTTGCAATATTGTACATGTTCATATAAACACAAAATGACAACAAGAAAACACTCATCATGGGGATGTATTTTCCTTTTTGGAAAGAAAACCAGCATCTCAATATAAATGCCACATTTTGGAAAGATTATACTCTGGAATTTTTTAAGCAGTTGACAAATAGAATGATCAGAGCAACAGTCTGGTTATCATGTCATCTAGCACAGCATTAAAAATACAGCACTGTGTCTTGTAAGGTTTAGATGTATTAAAAGTGGTGCAAACACAGTGATAGCAGCAGTTCTTAAACCTGCCAAAACAAGTACTGATTTGCTTTGTCCTTATCAGTGTAACTATCTTCTTCCTTCAGGCCTGCAGATAACAGCTTAGAGTTTAAACTAATTTTTAGTTTCCTCAATTGAACTGTGATATGTTCAAGATTTCTGCCTTCAAACCCCCTAGTACTGGCTTTCTTAGATTGCTCAGACAGCACCAGATAAAATTTCCTTCATGCATACTGTTAGATTCTCCAAGCCAGCCAGGTTACATCAAATTACTGGAAGTGACTCTTTAATCCCTCTGGAATGCTTGTCCTATTTGTAAATCTTAGGTCTGTTCTCAGAATTGGCTAGCCAGGGGGATGCTCCACATTTATGTCCTTCTTTCTCAGAGATGTCTGTGTTAGAATGTGCCTTACCATGCTTCTAAGCCTGTGCCCAACCAATGTGTCCTTCAAGGGAGTCAGCAGGCAGTCACACCAATATGGGAACAGGTCTGTGCATCCAGGAACCGATTATTCAACAGATTCCTCTAGATACATGCCTCTGAAATACCAGTTTGCCAATACAGCAGGTGAAAGGCAACAAATTCATAAACAATCTGTAAGAAACTAAGGGAAAACTACACAGTTTCCCTCACTCACAAGATCACCTTCAAATATAAGCTCAAGTTTTTGAGATATTTGTAAGGAATTGTGCATCATATGGAATCACAGAATGATTAAGGTTGGAAAATACTTCCAGATCATCTAGACAACAGCATTATGAATCAAATAGTGAGTGCAATGAGAGCTAAATATCTTTACATGTAGTACCAGGAACAGTAGAGATACCAAGTATCAAAAGCACCACAAGCTTGAGCAGACTGCTGAAATCCCAAGTGTACTCTCTTGACCGTTTAGATTAAACTTACTACTTTAATGTTATCTTGGACAACTCTGCACACTTTGTAAATCACTACAACTGCAGCCCCATGTTGTGATGGAACAGTAACAGACTTTTTCAAGTCAATGAACCATAGCATGTCATCCAGTTTTAAGCAGAACTTCCCACTGGACCCTGTCACAGATTACCTAGCAACTGAGTTGGAGATTATGACACTGCCTCCAACACGAATCATAGGTTCACATCCTTCAAAGGATAGTCAGGAAAGTGTAAAGGTGAAGGCTGAGGCGGGAAGGAAGGTAGCATAGGTTAGTAGTTGGCTCTGATACTTCATTACTGATTACCAAACGGAATGGGTTAGTTAAAATTACCTTTCCAAAACTCTCATGGATCACAGCCTGAGCAAACTGAATTGAGATCTCCTGTTTTAATACAGGTGTACTGCTGAAATGCAGATCACACACAGTGATCAGCTCATGAGCCACAATTTGGAAAACGCTGGGCTAGAGTTTGCTCTGCAAAGTGGCTGCTAATGGAATTTATCACAGAAATTTTTCCCTACTGTTAAATGGAAATTTCATTTAGAAATGCATTAACGCAAAAAACACCTCATTCAAAGATGTGATAAGAAGCGGTATAAAGTCTTTTACTTGGTAGCTGCAAATGACTTGTTAGCTACTTTTCAGATGGCAGTTTGACCTTACGAACAAACAAATAAATAAATAAATTTGTCATGGAGGCAAAAGATGCTTAAATCCCAGTGCATTGCAACCAGTGCAGGGGAAGCCTGGTCAGCCACATGGACACAGTATAGCAGATAACCATGCCAGACAGCACCAGTGGAGTGGGTTGTAGTCTCTTCTGTACTCTTCAGCAGTTAGGGCACATCCATGCCCAGAGAAAAGTAGCTCTCTTTTTTAAGAGCTGCTCTCAGGTGAACTGAATAGTCAGACAGTATTATTCTGAGTAATGCTCTTTGTCTCAACAACTGAATATATCCTATATTTTTAAAAAACCCAGTGAATTGGAACCAATACTTAGTCTAAATACAAGGACAATGGGATTGTGATGAAGACAAGGTCTAATTAAGTGCTAATTAATAACAAAATATATAACCCTGAAGTAATACTAGAAATACCAGAGCAGTAGTTATTCCTTGCCACTGTATAAATTAGACAGCTAGAATATCCTTAGCTATCACCTTTTCAGGCTTCACAGGCAAAAACAATTTCTGATTATTACATTGGATTACAGGACAATCCTATTATTAGTCTCATCATATGTACTCCTTGTAATTAATGAGCAATGGCATTAAACTCTGCTAACGTATTTTCTACATTAAAACTTACAAGCAAATAATTCAAGGTTTTGAGCAATCTGGCAACCTATGCGTAATTAGTTGGATTTCAAAATGGCAATTAGCCAATTTTACAAGGTGTATCCTCTCTATCTCTAGCAATAAAATTGAGTGTTTGTGTTTATTGCTATATGATGAACTGTATTAAACATTAGTTCACATATATAGTCCATATAAGGCAACATAAAAATTAAAAAAATTAACCAGAAAAATGGGAGTAAGTTCATACTCCACCTACAGTGTGATAACTAAAGAAAAAGCCCTTTGGGCTTGCCTGGGAAGAAAAGGAGTTGTAGCAGAAATGCTAAGTCACAAACTGAAACAGTGATGGAGCATCTGATAGGAAGGCAGGGCCAACCTGGAGGATCTCAGGTGCATGTAATGTACCTGAGTGATGGAAGGGGTGGAGCCAGGATCCAGCCCTTCCCACATGTTATTTAAGGGTTGGCAGGGGGAGGCAAGGGGTCTTGCTGGAGATCCCTGTCTACCTGAGGCTTTGCAAGGGTAAGTAGCTCTTTTCCTTTATTTTTGCATTTATGGCTGCTGCATTTGGGCTTGATCTCATTAGTTGCAGCCAAAGACTTTGCCACCTTGCTGTTATCACTGTACTTTCTGTCATATTGCAGCGTTATGGGGACTAGATCTTCCTGCCATGACAAGTATAACAGTGCATAACAGTACAATGTGTAGTGCTGTTTTTATTACCATGTGCTATCATTAGCAGAGGAAGTGAGCATTACTTTCTCTTTTGAACTATAGAGGCTGTGTTATAATGCAGTCACCTGTACTAGAGAGGGCGTGAGCTTGACTGTTCTGTAACAAAAATGGGCACTTCCATCCTGCAGACAGAAAACCCAGCTTACCTTGAAGGACTCTCTGGAAGCCGTTCTTTCAGCTCAGTCAGACTCTCTCATCTCTATCTCCTCTTTAGGCCACCACCTGGGGACATCAGAGATGCCAATCTTTTCTATTCTACTTGCTAACACCGAGTTGCTCTCTGTACTGTGGAGAAGCACCGTAACAGGGAGGGCGCTCGCTCTGAGGGCTCTGGGATGAGGTAACGTTGCTCCCCTGTGCTGTGGTGACTTTCAGAGGGCTGGGGGCTCCTGACTGGACACCCCACGGGGAGAAAACTTCAGGCTGAAAAGGACGCTTTCAACTTTGCTTCCTCCAGGGGATGGATTCAAACCATTTACCTTCATACACTTTGAGGTTTGTGAAGAACTTTGGAAACGACTGTTCCAGCGCTTTCAAAACAGAGGTCTGTGCTCTGTTTAAGACAACCTCCCAGGCAGAACCGCGCAGCACTGGCACACGGCTCAGAGAACGGTTCGTCTGTTTAGCACTGCATTCGACATTAGCATCCCCGGATCGCCGTTCCTAACTTTGCACTTCAACTTTTGGTAACTCAGGACGGGACCGCCTGAGCTCTCCGGCCTCACCAGGCAGCAACCGAGCGTGGGGCTCACCAGGTGCCGCCCCGCTCTGTGAGGGGACGCAGCCTGGGGTCGGACGAGGAGCGAGCGCGACCGTTGCCCCCTCAGCGCTCCGCTCAGAGGCGGGCTGGGGGCGGGAAGGGGCGGCGCGCGGCCGGCCCCGCTGCTGCGCGGGGAGGGCGCGGCGGAGCGGCGGGCGCCGAGCTTTAAATGAACATTACTATCGCTCGGGGTGGGCAGCGCCGGTGGCTCGGGCCGGTTGGCGGCGTTAGCGGCGGCGGCAGCGGCTCGCTCTCATCTTCTTCCTCCGCCTCCGCGGCAGGTAGGCTGTGCGCGCTGCGTGAGAGCTTCCACCCATCCCCGCAACCGGTCCGCGGCCGCGCGCTGGGCGAGGCGAGCCTCGGTGGGGTGCAGCGGTGTGCGACGAAGCCCCGCGCCCTTCCCCGGGCGGGTGCAAGGAGGAGGGCTGCAGGCAGGTGGGCCGGCGGCTGCTGCTGCTGCCGCCCCGGGGGACGCGGCCGCCCTGCCGAGGCACAGCGCGAGGCACAGAGCTGATCCCGCGGGCAGCGCTGCGCTGCGCTCCGCCTGTTGCCGCTGCGCTGGCGGCGTTCGGGCGCCTCGCGCCTTTGCGACCCTGCCGCGACCGTTACGGCTTTCTATTGACGTGTTCGCGTTCGTGTGCGCGCTGCCTCCGCGGTCAGAAAGGCAGAGCGGAGGTCGGGGCTCTGTGAAGAGCTTTTACGCACAGAACGCGGAGCCCTCGTTTCATCGGAGATCTGAACCTCAGCCTAATAAAAGTTATTTCCAGGAGGTGGAGTGTTTTATTTTCTTTCGTTTGATATTTAATGTTTCCATGCTCTCCGTCTGTAACGCAGCCCTGGATTTGCAGAGACGAAGTGCCGGTCTGGTACCGTGTTTCTGGCTTGTTGGAAATGGATTTGAAGACCTAGTTATAATTTCAGTGCACGTATTATCTTTGCTCAGTTGCTTTAGAACTCGGTTCGACTGTGTTTTCAACGGAGATGAGTGAACTTTAAAGAAAATGAGGTCAGGCATAGATTGCGGGCATCAAACCCCTTTCAGGTCCCAGAAGTAGCGTGACCCGCTCCGTTCTGCGCCTCACGGGTCTCTGCTTTGTATTTCTCACTGCGATTTCTGGGCACATCCAGATGGTTTTAGCTTAGTTTAATGAAACAAATACGGTTTGTAATGCGATGGTGCCCTGGACTGAAAGGTCTGTATTTCTGGTGGGGACTGTAGTGGGTCTTAAAACAGTGATCTGTGCTTAGCACAAGCTTTTTCTTTGTGCCTTTTGTAAGGCTTCAATTTGTGACAGATGACTGCTGCAAAGAAGCATCCATATGAGCTGTTTAGGGAAAATAATGTGTTTGGTTATTATTATGATGATTTAAAAAGGTTTAGGAGAATGCTTTATTTTTCATGTTCTGTACTGGAAACAATGGAATTCTGAAGTTATTAACCATCATCTAAAGTCTTCAAACAAGAACTGACGAATATTTATCTTGGAGTAATTGGGTCAGAAGATAACATCTTCCATCGGACCTCTTCTGTATTGGCCAGTTTGGGTTGCTAAGTAGCTATGATTTCTAATCCCAAAGTAAATGATGTCATAATGACATCACCACGTCCTTTCACTTGATTGATTCTCATAAGAGAACGGTAATGAGATTTGATATACATGTCCCATCTCTTTAATATTCTTCCTCTGCTCCAGGGGATTTCCTGACCTGCCTGGCAGATTCCAATGAATCACACTGAGCTCTAGTAAAAAGACATTGCTCTGGAGACTGAGCTGAACATTAAAGGGACAGTGGCTGATTCTGGTCATTTCAAAATCTGAGGAACTTGGCAGCTTATGCTTTCAATGTGGAAATCTAGAAATGAAGGACAGCAGTAGAAAAGCTGGAGTTATTACGTTCATGTGCAAGTGCTAAAGGAATTTGAATTTCAGGTGCTCGGCTTATTCAAATTGACTTTAATTGGGTATGTGGGGTTTCAACCCTTCTCAGAATCAAGTTACTGAATGTATGTGAAGATAGATGCTTTAGATGGGGTGGTGGAAGCAGGAAAGTTTAAGGTGATATCTTCGGTTGCTAAAATTAATTTTACTTATGAGAGTACAAAGGTGAAAGCAGTCAAATGGCCATGCTTTGGGGCATTATACTGTAAACATTACTATCATAGAAAACTCCTTCGGATGGAATGCTGAATATCTATAGGATGTAGAATGTGTAAGAATCTGTTTTCTGTTTCTTCAGAGATTAAAGATATGAATTGTGTCATTTGCTGTTGATCAGGGTTTTCTACAGCTTGTCTTTATCATGCATGTTATTCACATGAGCCTGGGTCTGTGCAAGTGTTAGGCAGTTGTGCTTGTGATAAGTAGCTGTACTGTGATACTTGACTTATTCATACCCAATGAGTTTGAAATATTTTAGATAGGGCTGTGTAAATCTCAGTGTTTGATGTGTGGAAAAGAGGAAAAACAAAACAATTGTCATCTCTGTCTTATTGAATATATAGTCTTGGGTAGAGTTGAACACCAAGTCTGCTGCTTATATTCAGAGGCTGCACCGATCTCATTTGTTTCCTAAATGCTGTGGGTCACAGTAAACATACTGCAGAAGTAAATGCCAATTTCTTAGGAAGCAAATTGATTGTTAATGTATTTGCTGAAGGTATTGATTGCTGATGAGAAGCTTCTGTTATCGCTGAAGTACTGCAGCACTGATGGCATGACTAAGTATGGGGAAGTACAAACTAAACAGAGGCCCCTGAACAAGTGAAGGAGGAAGGTGTTGGGGGAAGAGATTTTTGCCTCTGTTTGAATCTATTCCTCATGTGTAACTGCAATCCAAGCTACAGATGCCAAAAGAAAATTTTTAAATAATCTGTAAGTATTCTGTGCTCGTCGTCCTATCTGCAGTGACAAATTTCCGTGAGCTTTAGTTGCTTTCTGGGATGACTCAAGTATGAACAAGTGATTTGGAAAAAAATATTATCTCTGAAGAGAATCCATGGTGACAATTTCTTTTCAAGTTATCTTAAGATTTTCTACTTACTGTGATTTCTTTTAACTCAAGCTTGCACTGTATGTTGGAAACGAAAAATGAATTTGGACTTGGGGACATATCTGTGCCTTTCAACTGCATGTTCGATGGTCATCTGTGACATTTGCATGGTTGTGCTTTTAATACGGTGACATATTTGGTTACATAAAATGCAGGAAACCGTGCACCTCAAAGACTTTCTGAATGCTTGTACTGGAAGGTTGATGCTGCAGTCCTGACCTCTTTGAACAGGTGATGACAGCGCAGATGTGGCCAAATAGAGAAAGGCAGCAAGCGCTCACTGTCGTGACAGATCTTGTTATAAAAGATGAGGTCAGTCACTGTGGAGGCTCTCAAAGTAGCAGTTGAGGTGACAGTGTCTTCTATTGTACTGAAAGCAATAGGAAATTCAGTCCTCAGACTTCTGTTGTGTATTCTAAGCTATGCTAAGATCACAGGTGAATTATTTGGTGTCTGGCTCGACGAAACAGCGGTTGATGTGCTTCAGAACTCCCAGTGACTGTAGTGCAGTGTCTTGCTCCTCTGCTGCAAGAAGAATGTCCTTCGGTTGTCAGTGTAAGGATAGCCGGTATTTCAGCCCTGACGTCTGCTTTTGTCATAAGCTCTGTGTGAGAATGGGCTGAAATACCAAGTGGATTACTGGCTTTTTTTCTTTGTATTTTAGAGGACAATAATGCATATATAAAATCCAGGACTTCCTCAGGCTGCTTGTGAGCCTTCTCTAAGGGCAAAACCAGCAGTTGGATATTTGAAATGTTTTTTTCTGTTGATTTAAAAGGCATCCTGATGAGCAAATTCATCGACACCTGGATCTCCTTTACCAATGAATGATTTCTGCCAGCTGCATAGAAAGTGCTGCTTCAAGAATGCAAACAGGATTTGCTCCCTGGTATGAAAAGAAAGAAAATTGTTTTCGAAAGAGCATCTTTGTATATATGCTCTCAGTTACGAAGGAATTTGAAGAAGGAAAAAAACATAGTTTCCAAAAAGAAACCCTTAGACTTCTCCCCTGGATGTATTTTGCAATTATTTTAATTGTTCAAGACCAACACACGAGCTTGCGGATGCAGATGATGACCACGTCCACAACAGAGCTGATATAATCTGCTAAAAGCTAGTACTAAATACTGCCGTCAGTTGCACTACTGTAGCTGAAACAATGCTGGCATGGGTGGTCATGCTTTGGCTTTACTCCAGGAACAGATGCAAACTATTTGCATTTAAATTCTGGTATTTCCACTTTGCTACTCTGATCAGACTTAAACATTCAAAAAATGCTACTTTCTCATCAGTAATTCTGCATTGTATTGAGTTAATTAGTGCTTTTCATTACAAAAGATGCCGTGGGGAACACACAAGGCATAGCAGGTGCAAGTCCTTTGACTTAAGCTCTAATTGCTGCGCTGCTTTCAGTAATCGCTTTGGTGTCTCAGAAGTCCTGTATTTGTCTTACACCGTAGGAATTCCAATGGGCTGCTGCTGCCTGTAAAAATCTAAAGGGAATAAAATAGAAAGCAGATGTCAGCCTTATGTTCTGGTGGCTGGCACTATATATTAGGTATGAACAGGTTTAAATTAAGCATACTTAGATATTAAGTGTTCTGAAAATACATTGTCCAAAAATAGGTGGTAAGAATGGGGCTTTTTAATTTGGAAGATCATAATTTATGTCTTCATATTTCTGTATTTAAAGAGTTGATATATTATTAGCAAAATGAATGCTGATTTTAGTCTAAAGTGCTGTCTTACAATCACCTTTGCATAAATTAAGTATTTTTCTGTGTTATAACATCACTACTTAGACATTAAAATAATTTAGCCTGTCCAGAGCAGGGAGGTTGGAACTGAGGATCTTTGAGGCCCCTTCCATCACAAGCCATCCTATAATGAAAGCTCGCAGTGTAAAATCACCATTTCTGATGGCAGCTGTATTCATATGCTTTCCAAGCAGTGCCTGCACAGGTTGAGGTTCATTCTTTATCTTTACAGGACTGTGCAACGAGATC